ATGCTAAGTGTAATAAGTCAGAGAAAGACAAATACCATGCAATTTCAATCATACATAGAATTTAAGAAACAAAACAAATGAGCAAAGAAGGAAAAGAAAAAGGCGAACCAAGAAATGGCCTCTTCACTATAAAGAACTGATGGTTATCAGAGGGGAGGGGGTTGGGGGTAGGAGGAGTTAGGTGATGGGGATTAAGGAGTGTACTTGCTTTGTAAGTACCGGCGTCGTATGCAATTGTTAAATCACTATACTGTACACCTGAAAGTAATATCACTCTGCATGTTAACTAGCTGGAATTTAAATAAAAACTTAAAAAATAACAGTTGAATGTTGTGAATGTTTTTTCTGCATCCATGAGCATATGATTATCCTTCATGTTGTTAATGTAGTGTATCACATTGATTCATGAACGTTGGCCTACCCGTGCATCCCTGAAATAAATGAAATAAATCCCACTAAATAATGGAATATGGTCCTTTTAATGTATTATTGAATTCCATTTGCTAGTATTTTGTTGAGGATTTCTGCATCTAAGTTCATCAGGGATATTGGCCTGTAATTTTATTTTCTTATGGCATCCTTGTCTGCTATTGGTATCACAGTAATGCTGCCTTGTAACAGGAGTTTGGAAGCTTCCCTTCCTCTCAGTATTTTGGAAGGGTTTGAGAAGGACGGATATTACATCTTTTTGAATGTTTGGTGAAATTCACCAGTGAAGACATCTGGTCTAGACTTCTGTTTGCTGGAGGTTTTTAATCAATCTCCTTACTACTGACCGGTATTCAGATAATCTACTACTTCATCATTCAGCATTGGAAGAATGCATGTATATAAGAATTTATCTAATTCGAGGGGTCCAAATAGTTGGCATATAGTTCTTAGTAGTCTCCTATAACTCTTTGTCTTTCTGTGGCTGTAACTGTTTCATTTCTGATATCTGAGTCCTGTTCTTGTTCTCCTGCCGAGTCTAGCTAAAAGTCCCACTACTCTTTCTTATCTTTTGAAAGAACCAGCTTCTTGGTATCACTGATTTTTTCCCCCTATATTCTCTATGGTCTCTGTTTCATTTATTCCCACAATGATCTTTGTTCCTTTATTCTACTAACTCTGGGCTTCATTTGCTCTTTTTCTAGTTCCTTGAGGCTCACAATTAGAACCACTGCTGCTGAATTTATAGATTTTGTATGTTCTATTTTTGTTTAAATTAGTCTCAAGCTGTTTTTCTCGCTTTTCCTTTGATTTCCTTGTGGATCCACTGGGTTGCTCAGTAGTATGTTGCTTAATCTCCACATATTTCTAGTTTTCTTCATGTAAGTGACTTCTAGTTTCATACCACTGTGAGCCAGAAAAGATGCTTGATGTCATTTTACTCTTCTTAAATTTACTGGGACTTGCTTTATGGCCTAACATGGGGTCTATCCTGGAGAACATTCCAAATGCCCTTGAGAAGAATGTGCATCTGTTGCTTATGGATGGAGAGTTCCACGTAAATTAACCATTGGTGTAGGACCCCTACTCCTGCCGTATGGCATTTCTCCCCTTAGATCTACTACTATTTGTGTATATGTGCAGGTGCTCCTGTGCTGGGTACGTAAATGTTTACAAATGTCATGTCTTCTCCATGGACTGATCCCGTTATCGTTATGTAATCCCCCTCTGTCTCCCATTAATAGTCTTTGTTGTGAAGTCTACCTTGTCTGATGTAACTACAGCTACTCTTTCATCTCCACGTCCAGGAATACCTTTCTGCCTCCCTTTGCTTTCAGCGTCTGTGTGTCCTTACATCTGAAGTCTCTCATAGGTAGCACAGATTGCTCTTGCTTTTTTCCCATTGACTCACTCTATGTCTTTTGATTAGAGAATTCAGTCATTCTACATTTGAAGCAATTATTGATAAGTAGATACCTATTGCTGTTTTGTTTATTGTTTTCTGCTTTTTTTCAGTAGGGCCTTTCTCTTCTTTCCTTCCTTTTTTCCTTTGTGATTAATGGCTTTCTTTAATGTTACACTTAGATTCCTTTCCCTTTCATTTTTGTCTCTACCAGAGGTGTTTGCTTTTTGGTCACCATAAGGCTCACATAGAACAACAGCCTGTAGACACGCGCACATGTACATTTAATACGTGTGTGTTATGTGTATATATATATACATATATATAGATAAATAGATAGATACTCAGCCTACTTTAATTTGATAGCAACTTAAGTTTAAACATATTCTGAGTTTTTACCTGCCCTCCCATACTTAATATTTTCATATTACATCGTTTTACTTTGTGTATCCCCTAAGTACTATAGTTTTCATGATTTTTACTGTTTTTGTCTTTTATTCCAGTTCTGTAAGTAATTAATCCATTACCTTTACTTTACATCGACCTTTACCAGTGAGGTTTATACTTGCATTTATTTTATTGTTACAAATCAATTCCCTGTCTTTTCAGTTTACAGAAGTTCCTTAACATTTCTCGAACGACCTGTTTAGTGGCGATGAACTCCATCAGGTTGTGCTTGTCTGGAAAACTAGAATGACAGCCCTGCTGGCCAGAGTATCCTTGGTGGATACTCTACGCTCTTTTCAGCATATGGAATATACCCTGTGGCTCCCTCCTGGCCTGCAAGGTGTCTGCTGAAAAATCTGCTGATCGTCTTAGTGATTTCCTTGTATGCATGTAACAAGTTGTTTTTCTCCTGCCACTTTTCAGAGTCATTTGCTCATTAATGTTTGACATTTTAACTATAATGTGTCTTGCTGTGAACTCTTTGGGTTCATCCTATCGTCAGCTCTCCAGGCTCCCTGGACCTGGATGTCTGTTTCTTTCCGTAGGTTAGGGATGTTTCTACTATTATTTCTTCACTTACACTTTCTGCCCCTTTCTTTCCTCTCCTTCTGAGACTTCCTAATGTGGACACTGTTCCAACCTGATGTCTGACAGATTAAAACTTAAATTGTCTTTGTTTCCTTTTGCTGCTCTGTGTGAGGTCTACTGTACGGTCTTCTTGATCGTTGACACTTTCTTCTGTTTCATCCAGTGGGAACTTCCCAGGGCATCCTTCAGATCAGTTGTAATATTCCTAAAGCTCTGGGACTTCTGTTTGGCATTCCCTTCTGTTTTCTATCTCCATGTTGAAGTTCTGTGTTTATCCATTCTTCTCTGCAGTTCAGGGAGTGTCTCTGTGACCCTTACTTTGAATTACTTATCAGGTAAATTATTTATTTCCATTTCACTAAGGTTTCATCTTGTTCTTTATTCTTGAACAGATTCCTTTGTTTCTTCATTTTGTTTGACTCTCTATTTTTTTTTAAATTGTATTTATTCATGAGAGAGAGAGAGAAACAGAGAGAGGCAGAGACACAGGCAGAGGGAGAAGCAGGCTCCATGCAGGGAGCCCAACATGGGACTGGATCCTGGGTCCGCAGGATCACGCCCTAGGCTGAAGGCAGAGCTAAACCGCTGAGCCACCTGGGCTGCCCTGATTCTCTGTATTAAGTGGAGCAGCCACCTCTCCCAGGTTAGAAGGAGTGGTCTGTGTAGGTGATGAACCTTCTCATGTAGCCCTGCCCTTGCTTGTCTCTTGAACTTCTCTGATTGTCTAAGCAGCCAGATTTATTTCAGACACATTCCCATTGTTGAGGGTGTGCCAAGATGCCTCTGTGTTCCAAAGGGAGGAATCCCACCAAGCACCAAGTTTCAGTCTGACTGGAGCCAGGCTCTCTGGCAGCTTTCAATGTATGCAGATATAAACAGTCCTGTGGGACCACAATCATAAACCCTGCTGGCCTCCACACCAGGATGTCTGGAGGTGTCTCCTGGGCTAGAGTTAGAAACATCAGGGCTCCAGATGAGTGTATAAGTCCCTTCTGGGAGGTGCCAGTGAGCTGTACCAAGATCAAGGGAGAGGGCAAAGTTGGCCCTCATCTGTGTTCCCTGAGAGTACCTCCGTCATCTCCAAATGTGTGGGAAACCTGAGGCCTGTGCCTCAGGCTGCAGCCCCAGGACAAGTGAATAGGCTTTCATCACAGACATACTGGGCATGTTTTGTGTGCTGCCTGTGCGTGCCCTGCATGGCCATCTGTCAAGAACTCTCTCCAAGTGGTAGGGTCCTGTGGGGCCCAGGTATGCAAGCCCCCTGGCTACCAGAGCCAGGCATGCATGGGTGTTCCCTGTGCGGTCTGTGGGCACCTGCCGACTTTAGCAAGATGGCAGGAGAGTGGGGCTGTGGCGTGCCCACTGGCTCCAGCGCAGCAGCGGGAGTGCACGGGGGCTGGGGCACAGTCCATGGCTTCAGCAGAGCAGCAGTGGCAAAGTAGAAGCAAAGCACAAAAGCGGCGCTTGTCAGTGCCTCTGTCCCCACAGTCCCCACAGTCCCCTGCCCCTGGGAGACACTCTAAGATTAGCAAAGGGGTTCTTCACACACAGCATAATCCCCTTTCGAGCCGTTCCTGCTGCACGGGGCCCTGGGGCAAGTGAGTTGAGTATGAGCTCCGTGGGTGTGCTGGGTACAAGCCCCATGTTTTGGGGGCTCACAGTCAGACGCAGGCTCCAAGCTGGAGTGCCTGACTTTGGGCGTGGACCCCTCACCCCGGGAGAATGCTCCGAATCTCTGAGATCCCTGCCACGTGTGGGCCGTTGGGCCAGCGGGCGCCTCTGCCTCTCCTGCCCCCTCCCCTTACACGAGGGAGCTGCTCAGCCAGTTCTCAGGCCTTTCCTGGGAGGGAATCCTTCCGGAGTAGCGCTCGGCGTGGGGTGACCGCGGGGCCGGGGGGGGGGGTGAGCTCGGCACCTTCCTGTGTCACTGCCTGGCATGGCCGTCGGCGCGGTACCGGGGCACAGAGGCTGCACCTGAGTAGCCGCCGGGCCCTCAGCAACCGGTGCCCCTTCCCATCCGGCCGACGCCAACGGAGCCCCAGAACCTGCAACACCCCGAGCCTGTTGGGTCACACGCAGCTGCCGAGGCTTCCCGAGCCCGGGCACCTGACCTGAGGACTGCATCGCTCCTTACCTTTCTCGTGAGTGGCACTTCAATGGGCACGGGGACCACCTCGGCCAGCAGGCAGCCGTAGAACGCCACCATGGAGGCAGCAGGGTCGTTGTTGGGGAACACCAGCGCCACCTGCGGGCACACACAGGGGTCAGCCCCAGGACCGAGGGGTGCAACCCGCGCAGCCGGCCGTTCCCAGCGAGGGCAGCGAGGGCAGAGCGTGCACGGCAGGCGCGCCGCAGGCTCGTTTGGGACAGATGTATTTTAGCCAATTTCACGTACTTCCCTTTGACGTTCGAAGCCAGCCATGTCGCGGCCGGTCCCCCGAGACCCTGCCCAGGGCACAGCCACCCAGGCGGTCGGCGCGCGTCCTGTCGTGCACCCTCATGCACCTGTGAGTCACGGCCGTGCGCACGTGCTCCGCGGGCACCTCCTCGTGTGTCCACGCGGCCCCCAGCCTGACCTCGCCTGACCCCACGGGACGCCCTGCCCCTGGGCTTCGTTTGCCTCCCCACATCCCAGTGTCGTGGGCAAGGGCACCTGAGGGGGCGGGGAGGGCCGGGTGAGCCTGGCGCAGGCGACACCCACGGCCCCTCGGAGGGCGTCAGGGACACCTGCTCCCCCTCCGCCCACGGCCTCCCAGGGGCCTCGGGACGAAGCGCCCAGTAAGCACGGGCTATAAAAGCTGGGTCAATCTAGGGTCCCACGGATCACGTGACTTTTAGGATGTCTCCCGACAGCCCCGAGGGCATTTTCGTGATGAACGAGTCTTCCGGAGGATGGCGTGAGCTGTGCCCCTGCGTCGAGCTCTCCTGCCCCTTGCCTACTCACCTGTTTCCACACGCGCCCTAAAACCAGGATGAATTTAAACACACCTGACAGCATTAACTCCCAGTTATGCAAAGGCTTCACGTGAATTATTTTTATTGCCACATTTAACGTGTTATGCAAATTTGTCAGAACCTGTATGTGGGCGCCTACTGACTACAAGCAGGTCACCCAGTGTGGCTCACGTGGGGCTCCCTGGGGTTGCAGGCCGGCTCACCGATGTGGCCCCAACTCGCTGGCCCTACTGCGGCCCCTCGGGGAGCGGCCTCACGTTCTGGCCTCGGGCGACGCGCAGCGGTCGCGCAGCCGTCCGGTGTCTGCGCGCTCCCTCCCCGCGGCCCTGGACGAGGTCGCCGTGTGCTCAGGAGCTCGCGGCTCCCCTGACTTAATGTGCACAGGTCACTTCTGCGTTGCCTCACTCAGGAACTTCACCAGTTTTTTCTCGAGTACCGTCCTACTAGACGTTATTAGTTTTGCCACAGATAATGAGTAGGACTCTATCTCCCTATTTCAATAAGCAAACGGGCACGAATGAATTCAGACGGCACCTGAGGACAGGACGTGCTGCATCTTAAACTTGGCCTCGTTGGACGGCGGGTGGAAACAAATTAAGTTTGGGATTAAAAGAAGATTTCCTTTCTAAACGGCATTCCTGCGGTTGAGTGAAGTCAGCAAGTGATAGATCAGTCACCCCTCAGGCCAGGAAAGGCCATTCTGAGGGACTGTGCTTGAGAGAGCCTGAGGAGTACGTGCGGTTGTGCTAATCCTTATTCCGTCCCAGCCAGAGGCCAGGCAGCCACGAGCAGGATCCTCCGGAGGAGCCGAGGATTTACTTGTACGTCTGTGCGTATGAACCACAGAAGTTATTGTAAAGAACCACCTGAGGTTTAGAATAGCCCGATGTGTGCTGCATCGACGGAAGCCGCGTCCACAGCGCGTGTGTAGACCTGGATCTGGCAAAGCTGCCATCAGGTGAGTACTTGGAGGCTCGCAGCGAGCCGCTGCCCAGACCTCCTTCCCTGAAGCACCCACACGTGAGAGGGAGTCATCCAAACTGCAGTCAAATCACGGAAGACGCCGAACTTCCACCCGGAGCGAACTTCCACCCGGAGCGGAGGGCTGCCCCTGTTCCTGTGGGAGCAGGTCAGTACGGACTCGCTGGCTTCCCCTAGCGTCTGTTCCAGGTCCGACACCCGACAGCACGGCGGGGACGCCACGGACCAGCCCGTCTGCCTCCGAGCCCGGGGCTGGCTGCCGGCCGGGCGCTGCTGGTGGAGGCTCACCCGGACCTGAGATCCAGAACTGCCCCGCTCTGTCCGCGTGGCCCTGCTCATGACGCCACGTTAGGGACGCCCCACAGGGCTGTGGCAATAGGATGGGATGGCATGTGCCAACGTGAAGGCAGTAAGAGCTGAATATAAAATCGTGCATGATTCTGCTCCTGACATCATCAAAGTGGTGGACAGAAAGGGTCAAACACCTGAAGACTCAGAATAAGAACAAAGTGTTTGCTATTGTTTTGCAGCTTCAGGAAGGGAAGTCTGTGCTTGGCTCACTCTTCTCATGACGTCTTCCTTCCACATCAGAACCAGTCACACGTCTGTCTTACTGGTGCCTCCGCGGTGATTCCCGAGCCGTGCACAACACAGCTCCCCTCCACATAATTCTCCGCGTATTTCTGACATGGGTCTGGACCTAAACCCCCCGCCCCAGGGCATGGAGGCGCCCACCTGGCAGGAGGCAGAGGCCACCCCAGCGTCCATGAGGGTTGCGCTCCTTAGAGCGATCCCTCCTTCTCCGCGTGCCCTGGCTCCTTCTCACGCCGGTTGGCCGCTGGCCCATAGCTCACGAGACACTCCTCAGGGCGCACGTGCTCCTCCCAAATGAGGAAGCTCTGTCCGCCCACCCCGACAGTGCATCTCAGGCTCTCACCACTTCTGAGATCTTCATCATGTTCCAATTTATACAAAAGCTAATTATCAATAATGTGTGCACGTTTTAGTACCGCCAGCTCCTAGAAGGCAGGCTCCACATCGTGCACCTCTGTACCTTCTGAAGCTCCCGCTACACATCTCAAACCCCATTCAGTGTAGGCACATAAATGCCTTCTTAAAAGCCCAAACTATGTTAATAAGGTTACCCAAGTGAAAAATGTCTATAAAGGTTTATGTCAAAGACTGAACGCTGATTATCCTGGGGAAAATTATTTTATTCAAAAGTCATTTTGAGAGGGTAAAAAATTCTGTTTATTGCAATAGAAGGTTATGATCAACTGACCACTATCATCATGTATATTTATTTAGTAAAAGTACCTACGTGCACGCGCCAGGTACAAACCACGTGAATGATGTTTAGGGTAGCTTAGGGAAGTAGTTCCCTTCACACAATTCAAGTCAGCCTTTGCTGAAAAACCTCCCTACGTAGTTTATTTCTATCACAATTCCTACTAACATCTGAGCTGAACAGAGGTGCTTCACTTTGCCGTCGTTACTGTAGGAGAACTTAGCGGCTCTGGAGGCCACGCTGCACCAGGACGTTTAACAAAGCCACTCAAGACTGTTGCCAAATCAGAGCGAAGGGAGATGTCACTCTACAATGGACTTCCTATTGTAGTAAACACAAAGCTGACCATCTCAACAGCTTGGCGGCACCAAGGACATCCGGCCCGCTGAGCAGCCTCGCCGTCCAGAACCAGCCCCGGGGTATCGCGTTCCTCTGAAGCCTGGGTCCCCCCCATCCTCCCCTCCCCTCCGCCCCTCCCCTCCCCGAACCTCGTATATTCCTCCCTGGTGGCCGCTTCACCTCACATAGCATAAAACCCTCGAGCCCCTCCATGGTTAGTGGCGCCAGAACCTATTTCCTCTCTAAGACTGCAGGACCATCCGGTGCGTACACCACCACCGCGTTGCTCACCCGCTCATCTGTGCACGGATGCTGGGGTTACACCCCCTTCTGGTTCTGTGAATGACGCTGCCCTGAGAACCAGTGTAGACGTGTAGATTGCCGGGTCAGGAGGTAATTCCGTGGTGACTGTTGGGGCACGCACCACCGTCCTGTTTGCCTCAGTGGCTGCACCAGGGTCGGTTGCTGCCGGCAGCATGAAGTTCCCATTTCTCCATCCTCGCCAGCCTAACCGGTGTGGTGTCTCAGTGTGGTTGAAAGGTACCTGTCCCAAGGCATCTTTTCAGGTCTTACTGGCCATCTGCCAAACTTCCCTGGAGAAATGTGTATTCAAGTCCTCTGCCCATTTTTTAATCTTTTTTTTTTTGGTTGTTGCTGACTTGTAGGTTTTTTTTTTGTTTGTTTGTTTGTTTGTTTTTTAATATTCTGGAGACTAATCTCGAACCAGATACAGGCTCTGTAAACACATTTTCTCCCATCCTCTATGCTGCCTTTCACCCTCCATAGCGTCCTGTGGCACCCTCAAGTTACTGTCATGAAATCCAATTCATGTTTTTATTTTCGTGGCCTGTGTTTTGGTGTCATCTAAGAAATCACTGCCAAATTCTGTTATGAAGCTTCCCCCAGGTTTATTCTAAGAGTTTTATGGTTTTTGCTCTTAACGTGAGAAGTGCTACAGCATAGCTCACGGAGTTGTGAAGGCTCACGACACCTTGTGTCATGCATCACGACTCACAGCTAATGTAACAAAGCCTGAGTTAGTGTGTTCGCGGTAGGAGACACTGAACTTGGAATGTCCGACTGCAGGTGTCTGTGTTGTGCAGGACGAAGCATTTGCGGGTGTAGTAATGTCAAGAGACTTACCCGGTCTCCAGGTCGTACCATAGGCTCTTGCTTTGTACCTAATTTATGCAGAATGTTGTAAGCAACCTTCATACTTCTTGTCCACAGTTTGCCTATCAACAGAAATGACAAAGACACAAGTAAGTGGACACATGCATTTCCAGTTACATATCAACATATACATGAAATTATATATAGAGAGAGAACTAGTTCATTGTAAGCCTTCAACTTATCCTCAGTCTCTGGAAGCAAGAAGAAAAATAAGAGCCAACAACTCGGATTCATAAAATCTGAGAAGCCTCAATGCTGGAATAAGGTTCTGATACAAATACTCTCGGTATGTAAAGTAGCTACAGCAAAGCCACAGAAAACTTATCATCACAGAAGTTCCAGGGAAAGATTTCAAGGGAGTGAAGTAGGGCAGGGATCATTGCAAGAGCGCATTACTGCTGATTCACCTGTTAGTGGGGTCCTGGCTCAAGTGACTGTAATGAATGCAAAGGGTCCTGGGGACACACAGTGGAGCCTCGTCCCCCTCCCTCTCCAAGTCCTGAGTCCTAAGCATCAAATCTTCCTAGCCTCGGGGACTTAGGATTTTGAAGAATGCTGAGAGTTAAAGATGGTGGTAAGTATTCTGAACTAAACTTTTGAACTCTGGGGAAAAAAGGAGCACAAGGCAGGATCGGTAACAGGATTTTAAAAAACCACATCAGGAAGAATGGCCAGTTTTTTTTATTTTTTTATTTTTTATTGGAGTTCAATTTGCCAACATAGAGCATAACACCCAGTGCTCATTCTGCCAAGTGCCCCCCTCAGTGCCCGTCACCCAGTCACCCCACCCCCCCGCCCACCTCCCTTTCCACCACCCCTTGTTTGTTTCCCAGAGTTAGGTGTCTCTCATGTTTTGTCACCCTCACTAATATTTTCACCCATTTTCTCTCCTTTCCCTTTATTCCCTTTCACTATTTTTTATATTCCCCAAATGAATGAGACCATATAATGTTTGTCCTTCTCCGATTGACTTATTTTACTCAGCATAATACTCTCCAGTTCCATCCACGTCAAAGCAAATGGTGGGTATTTGTCGTTTCAAATGGCTGAGGAATATTCCATTGCATACATAGACCACATCTTCTTTATCCCTTCATCTTTCGATGGACACCGAGGCTCCTTCCACAGTTTGGCTATTGTGGACACTGCTGCTATAAACATCGGGGTGCAGGTGTCCCGGCGTTTCACTGCATCTGTATTTTGGGGTCAATCCCCAGCAATGCAATTGCTGGGTCGTAGGGCAGGTCTATTTTTAACTCTTTGAGGAACCTCCACACAGTTTTCCAGAGTGGCTGCACCAGGTCACATTCCCACCAACAGTGCAAGAGGGTTCCCCTTTCTCCACATCCTCTCCAACATTTGTGGTTTCCTGCCTTGTTAATTGTACCATTCTCACTGGTGTGAGGTGGGATCTCATTGTGGTTTTGATTTGTATCTCCCTGATGGCCAGTGATGCGGAGTATTTTCTCATGGGCTTGTTGGCCATGTCTATGTCTTCCTCTGTGAGATTTCTGTTCACATCTTCTGCCCATTTCATGATTGGATTGTTTTTTGCTGTTGAGTTTATAATTTCCTTATAGATCTTATCAGTCCTTTAACTGATATGTCATTTGCAAATATCTTCTCCCATTCTGTAGGTTGTCTTGTAGTTTTGTTGACTGTTTCTTTTGCTGTGCAGAAGCTTTTTCTCTTGATGAAGTCCCAATAATTCATTTTTACTTTTGTTTCTCTTGCTTTCATGGATGTATCTTGCAAGAAGGTGCTGTGGCCAAGTTCAAGAAGGGTGTTGCCTGTGTTGTCCTCTAGGATTTTGATGCAATCTTATCTAACACTTAGATCTTTCATCCATTTTGAGTTTATCTTTGTGTCTGGTGCAAGAGAGTGGTCTAGTTTCATTCTTCTGCATGTGGATGTCCAATTTTCCCAGCACCATTTATTGAAGAGACTGTATTTTTTTCCAGTGATAGTCTTTCCTGTTTTGTCGAATATTAGTTGACCATAAAGGTCAGGGTCCACTTCTGGATTCTCTATTCTGTTCCATTGATCTATGTGTCTGTTTTTGTGCCAGGACCACACTGTCTTGATGACCACAGCTTTGTAGTACAACCTGAAATCCGGCATTGTGATGACCCCAGCTATGGTTTTCTTTTTTAATATTCCCCTGGCTATTCGCGGTCTTTCCTGATTCCACACAAATCTTAAGATGATTTGTTCCAACTCTCTGAAGAAAGTCCATGGTATTTTGATAGGGATTGCATTAAATGTGTAAATTGCCCTGGGTAGCACTAACATTTTCACAATATTAATTCTTCCAATCCATGAGCATGGAATATTTTTCCATGTCTTTGTGTCTTCCTCAATGTCTTTCAGAAGTGTTCTGTAGTTTTTAGGGTACAATCCTTTATCTCTTTGATTAGGTTTATTCCTAGGTATCTTATACTTTTGGTGCAATTGTAAATGGGATTGACTCCTTAATTTCACTTTCTTCAGTCTCACTGTTAGTGCATACAAATGCCACTGATTTCTGGGCATTGATTTTGTATCCTGCCACACTGCCGAATTGCTGTATGAGTTCTAGCAGTCTTGGGGTGGAGTCTTTTGGGTTTTCTATGTAGAGTATCATGTCATCTGTGAAGAGGGAGAGTTTGACTTCTTCTTTGCCAATTTGAATGCCTTTCATTTCTTTTTGTTGTCTGATTGCTGAGGCTAGGACTTCTAGTACTATGCTGAATAGCAGTGGTGAGAGTGGACATCCCTGTCTTGTTCCTGATCTTAGGGGAAAGGGTCCCAGTGTTTCCCCATTGAGAATAATATTTGCTGTGGGCTTTTTGTAGATGGCTTTTAAGATGCTGAGAAATGTTCCCTCTATCCTTATACTTTCAAGAGTTTTGATCAGGAATGGATGCTGTATTTTGTCAAATGCTTTCTCTGCATCTATTGAGAGGATCATATCGTTCTTGTTTTTTCTCTTGCTGATATGATCAATCATATTGATTGCTTTACGAGTGTTGAACCAGAAGAATGGCCAGCTTTGAAGAACCTGCACCCTTCCCATCCCTGCCCCCACCCCCAGCCCAGCATGAGATGCTCCCTCCATGGGACCCATGTGGGGACACAGCTTGAAATGGAATACAAGGATTCTGAAATCTAACCTGAGCTCAGAGACACATAAAGGTCTCTCATGGTGTGAGCTTCTGCAGCCTTCTGAAGCCGGCAAGGTGTGCGATGTTATGTTAATGTGATCGTAGCAATAGGAGCAACTTTAACTTTCCCATAAATTAAAATCACTGCTTTAATCTTTTTCCTATTTTAAATGTAGAAGCTAAATTTAGAATTTTTTTGCTAAAAAAAAAGAAATTTTTTGCTTGTAACATTTGTTTTGAATGAAAAAAAGCCAAATTTGTTTTATTTCACTTTGGATTTTGCAGCAGTCCAAATTAGGGTTGTTACTGTTTATCTACCATAAGACTTACCAACTTGTCTCCCTCTTAGTGATAGGGGACAAAGAAAATGTTTGATATCTTTATTTCTCCAAGTCCTAGTGCATTCCTGCTTTACATTATGTGTTCAACACATGCTTCTTTGTTTCATTAATGTCCTAGGCAATCTATAAAAAGCACACAATCCCACTTAGGAAGGTTTTGTCTGCCCCTCCACCCTCTTCTAGAGCTCCTTCTCAACACTGCGGCCCCAAAGGCTGGCTACCTTACAAGTATTTGGTATTTTGCTGGGTGATCATATATTTTCCACAAATATAGTCACTAGCTAGGGGCACTTGGTGGCTCAGTTAGTTTAGCGTCCAACTCTTGATTTCAGCTCAGGTCATGATCTCAAGGGTCATGGGATCATGCCCTGGGTTGGGTACCACACTCAGCAGGGAGTCTGCTTGGGATTCTCTCTCCCTCTCCTTCTGCCCCTTGCCTGGCTCGTGCTCGTACTCTCTCTCTCTAAAATAAATAAGTAAATCTTTTTTAAAAAGTCACTAGCTATTAGAAATGACTCAATGATTTTCTTCTAAAAAAAGCAAATACTTTGTGTCTTCAAATCTCTTTAAATATGAACAATATTGGGGAATGATAGTTAAATAAACAAGTACAATCAATTTGTTGTAATTGAAAGATTCAATGCACTGCACAAGAACAGATCAGTTACATTCAAACGATTAGCACCCATTATATGTTTTGTTAAATTTTCAACTTCATTCTCAGTTTGGAATATTAACTTTGCTGTCATCGTACATTCATACAAAAGCCAGTTTACAACGAAGAGCTTGAAATGGGCAACACACTTTCAGCAAAATACTAGAAATACACTTAATGTTTTTCAAGGAGAAAAACAAAAAAGTTGCTGACTTAAGTGAAAGGAGATACAACAGTTCTTCACTGATTTATAAGGAGGAAGAAAAAAATCCCAATCAGGAAAAGTTACTGGGAAAGTGATCATTCTAAGTGGAAGGAGAGATAGAGCGTTTCCTATAAGCAAAGGCTAGTGGACGTCATCACCACCAAACTGCACTTAGGAGAAACGTTAAAGGGACTTCTTGAAGCTGAAAAGAGGGCACTAATTAGTAACAAGAAGACACATGAAAGTATAAACCCATTAGTGAAGATAAATATACAGGAAAGGTGGTGGACTCTATAAAGCCAGTATATAAGTCAGAGGACAAAAGTCATAGATAGGGGTACACAAGATAAAAAGATGTAAAATGTGGCACTGAGAACATAAATGTGGGCGGGGGCAGTGAAAATGTACAGGTTTAGAATGTGCTGGAACATACGTTGTTATGAACTTAAAATAGACTGTTATAAAAATAAGCTGTTATATGTAAGTGTTATGGTAACCACCAAACAAACACCTCTAGTAGATCCACAAAATATGAAGAGAAAGAAATCTAAGTGTAACAGTAAAGAAAGTTGTCAAATTACAAAGGAAAAGAAGAAAAAAGGAACAGAGTGGCCCTACCATAACAGCCAGAAAACAATGACCAAAATGGCAATAAGTACCTACTTATTAATAATTACTTCCAATGTAGAAGGATTGAATTCTCTGAACAAAAGACACA